GGTTTAAAATGTACATTAAATTATAATATAAATAAATTTTTTATAAGATTATGTATTGCTGGTATTTAACACTGGATAAGTTATCTAGAATGTATAAAGGTAGCTCAAATGAATGTTGGAAATGTAAAAATAAAGAATGGATCTTTTATCATTCAGGGTGCTGGACATGTGATAAAGCAAATAAATTTTGGAGTAAGATTCATATTTTAATACAGAAAATTCTTAAAATGAAGATAAGGATGAAACCAGAAAGTTTCCTTCTGGGTTTAATGGAAAAAGACTTAGAAATTTTTTTGGAATCTTGATGTTATATACGTTGATGGCAGTAAGACTACTGTATGAACAAAAATGGAAGGACATTTTGATCCCCACCATGGACAAATGGCTACAGAAGTTGATGGAGGTAGCAGAGATGGCTAAAGTGACTGTTTTAGTTAAAGAACAAGTACTTTTGTTGCTACATGGAGATCGCTTCTGGACTTTGTGCTTGAGGTGGGAAAAAATGAAAACTTGATTTTGTATTTTACTGATTAGATTGATTTGTTGTTATAGAAATAGCTAGTTTATAGTGTTTTGCTTTATTCTACCACAGCAGAGAGAGTCAGTTTAAGATGTCTAAAAGTCAACCCCTTTTTTCCTTTTCTCTGTCCCCCCTCAAGTCTTCTTTCCCCTTGTAATCCCCCACAGTGTCCTTATTTGCTTTCATATTTTTTGTATTTTATTCTATAATCTAATTATATTCATTTCTCATATACCTCAACTACTATTGAGCTCTCTGAAGTAAGCAGCTTACGGAGGGTTGAGGATCTCTTGCTTTATATACTTTCTTCCTAACTTTAAGACTTTATGTAAGAAAGTGAAGTTTATTTTTTAATTCTTTTTCTTTTCTTTTTTTGCTGGCTACTGCACTGCCATTTACAAATCAATGAAAATTCACAGAAGAAACTAAATTGGAACAGGACAAATTACAGCCATTTATTTCATCTTGGGTGAATATAAATCTACCCCAAATTGTACTATTTTCTCCAATGTTACAATTCACTGCTATACAGGAGCCAACCGTGCTAGACAGGAGGTTCACCTAAGGGCTATAAAAGGAACTATGTTCTCTGTGGCTGTACAAAGAATTTAACATGTCATCTGAAGTTACCAAAGAAATTCAGTGGGGATTCCAATATTACTATTAACAATTATATATTGCTGTTAACAATTCTATTAATGACAGTTTAAAATCTCTAGCCTGATCTTGTTTTAAGATGTCTAAAAATCTGAACAGTGATAGGCCACTTATTTTTTCCAAAGTATGTTTGGGTTTTTATTGGCATCCTTCAACTATTGGAATTTAACTTCAAAACTTATGGCAAGCAAGTGAAGCTGCCATGAAATGTGATATCTTAATTAAAAAAATGAATAAACAATATTATGGAAAATTAAGGATCAACAGATTTATTGTGGAATGAGCTTTCATGCCATGACAAATAACATAGCTTTTAAGATGCCACCATACTTTTTATTTTTGCTCCAACAGAACTACAGATGTCCTGTTGGAAGCTTATGGTGGTTCTAACAAGTTCAGTGCAGAACCCATTTTTAAAATCTATTTCTTTAAAACATTTATTACAGTACAATCTTTAAGAACACATCACCAAATATCTAGTACTTTTCCTATCCCATATGTATGTATAATACATACCTATGTACCTACCTACATATGTGTACATATATACTGATTTTTCTGGATGACAAGTTTGAATTTGCTATTTATTTAAATACAAAATGAAAAGTATGTAAGACAAAAGGCACTTGTATTTATATATAAAAGCTAACAGTTTATAATATTTGTTGTATGCTTACAACTTGTACCATTTGTTCATCAATAAATACATTTCATTAAGTAAAAGTTTATTGCTACATGTTATCTATTTGCACATCACTAAAATTAAGCTGCCTCCCATATTTCTGGGTGTTGAGCTCACTATTCTTTGTGAAGAGATTTAATTAATTAATGTAAGAAAGAAATAAAAAATACCAAGTCTAAAAAAACTCTAATAAACTCAAATGCCCATTGTGGAGAAATACCTGAGATGTATATAAATTTGGAAAATCCAATAAAAACTATACATGGAGCTGGTTAAGATCAGGAGTGTTAAAGAAAGGAACTGAAGATTTTATTTTACTAACTCAAGAACAACCTTTGCCACTATTTTGATGAATGCAAAAAAATCTTCATGTAACAAAACAATAAACTAATTTAGTTATTTATTAAATTTCTACACCAGCCATCTCACCTAAGTGACTCTGGGCAATTTACAAATGTCATCTTTGTAATGCAAAGCCTGAAACAACTGACCATTTGATCAGTGGCTGCAGCACAATTTCACAAACTGACTCTAATCAGTGTTACAACTAAGGTGCCAAAATTATTCATTGGAAATGTGCCAGAATGTTGGACTTAAATGTAGCAAAAACCACAGGAACCATTAAGAGGAGGGGTTTCGGAAAATGAGTGGGTTAAGATTTTATGGGATTTTAAAACTCAAACAGATAGGCATTTTGTTTGACGACACTGAAAAGAAGAAACTCTGGTTCACTGATATTGCTAGAGGGGATGGAAAAGCACCGTGAAAAAAAAAGTGAAATACTGGGGCTTGCAAATTTAACTTAAACACTTACGGGGGGAAAATCATCATTGGAGCTATGCCTAATGAATAACTAGACGATACAAGGACAGTTTTTTCCACCATGCTATCCCTCTGCTAAACAACTAATTTCCACAACACTGTATATTTAGTAAGACTTTTACTATTATTCTTCTCATCTTTCCTATTAACTATCTCCTTTTCTACTTATGACTATAACTTGATACTTATCCCTTTACAATTAATATTGTTCTATTTAGTTTCCTAGTATGATTTATGTCATTTAGTATCATATGACTACCGCTAAGTGTTGTATCTTATGATTCATAATGAATATATTTTATGATGACTATGATCATGATTTATCACTTATAACTTTTATGTACACTGAGAGCTTATGAACTGAGGACAAATTCCTTGTGTGTCCAATCACACTTGGCCAATAAAGAATTATATTCTATTATTCTGTTCTGTTTCCTTGTCTGCTCTGTTCTGTTCTATTCCCTTGATATTTAACACACATGAATATTCTAATTTTACAATAAATAAATGAATAAGTAAATAAATACTTTCACAAGTGTTTGATTGTGAATATAATTATAAATTACCCATTTAATAATAATGATGATACCTCTAAGACCAGCAACAATAACACCTGCCTACGCCAGGTCCTTGGAAGGTTCTCAATCGGTGGATAAAAATGCCAATCCAGTCTAAACATCCTTCTGATTTTGTGCAACCAATCGTAATAACAATACCATAAAACAGGTATTCCCCCAACCCCCGGACCACATTACCAGATCACAACCTGTTTCAAACTGCACGAGTGATGGGCAAGCACATGCAAAGCTCCACTTGCTTCCGCGGAGAGAGCGTGAACAGAGTCATTTGAGTGGAGAGCATTTATGTGAAGCTCCACTTGCACAAATGAAGCTTTGCACAACAGCAGAAGTGCCTTCTGTTTGACCATTCTCCGCTCATGCAAATGGAGCTTTGCACATGAGCAGAAGTGCTCACCGCTCATCCAAGTGGAGCTTCAAGCATAAGTGTCCTCCATTCACATACCAAGTTCCATTTGTGTGAGTGAAGAGTGTGCATCTCCACCACTCATACGAAATGAGCTGTGCGCGTCCACCTGCCACTCAGGACATGTCCTCTGCACAGGGCCACATGAAATGTTGGAGACCACGGCTAAAGCCCACTTTTTAAAAAGGAAACATATATATAGATCTATTTATCTTTATTTTTTTTATCTGGTTTTGATGTATCAATGTTAAATAATTAGAATAAAGGTACATTGGAATTATATGCAATAAATAGCAAGAAGCAAGACGTGGTGGGCACACAAATAGATAAAATAATAGAAAATGAAGAAGTTAAAATACTCTGGAACTTTTCAAACAAACATCTTCTGTCACACAATAACTGAGACTTAACTATCAATAAAAAAGACCATAAAATCAACACTTCAATATCTTGAGACAGAAGAATAGAAAAAAAAAGAAGTGGAAAAAAAATCACAAAAGCTTGCAAATATAAGTAGCAAAAGAAAGATAGCACTGATAGTAGTAAGTGCCTTGGGTGCAATCTCAAAACAACTGGAGCAGAACTCGAATACCATCAGCAGTGACAAAATCACCATCAGTCAATTCCAAAAGGCAACTTTACTTGGAACAGCTTACATCCTATGACAGCTTACATGCTGTGACAAGGGCAATAATATCTTTAATATTATTAAATAAATTCAGTCTGTCCCAGATCCTTGGGAAAGACTTTACAGGACAAAAATGACAAATCCAGTCCAAGCATGTGGCTGACTGTGCAACCAACCATAATATTTTGGAGTGCTGCTGATGAACTTCTTATGAAGAAAATGTGTCAGTCAGTTTGTATACCTGTCTTTCATTTTATATCTGTACATATTGTATCACTGTTAAAGTATTTTTAATGGAAAAACTGCAAATGTAATCTTTGCATTCTGAAAAATTGTTACACTTTATTTGCATAATGAATTCTACTTTTTCATTTTATAACTTACTGCATATGTAATTATATATTACTATCAATATTACTGCTAGAGTTGTCTCTTCAAACTCACTAAAAAGCTTTGCTTTGGATTCCTATTTTATTCCATTTCTCATACAACTTTTAATTATTGAGGTCAAATAGAATTAGTTTGAAAAATTCAGTAAAAGCACATACATTGTCCTAAAGTTATGTACACATGATATTATAAAACACATTCTATCAGAATGCTGCCTCCATTTTCTAACTTTCAGAAACAAAAATAACAAAAGATATTGCAGAAGATATATTGCAATTTCACTTTTGCCAAGATAGAAAATATGATGAACATCTTACTGTCATCCAGTTCTAGGCAGAGATTATATACAGCAACAGGCCTCTTATTACGTTGCCCCTGTCGTCTTGATTGTCGTGGTGGGGCATTTGGAGGAGAGATTGGCGCAGGCGTAGGCTCAGGGAAATAAGCATCAGGCAGCATATGGAAAATCTGCCAAGAGTAATAAAAAACACACTGATTTACTGTGAAGGACAACTTGTATAAATCCTGTAAGTCATTTTCAAGAAATCATTTGCCTTGGATTTATATTCAATGCCTCGCATTTTGAATATTATTTAAAATAAATCAAAATTAAAATAAGCATAAATATTCACTGTTCTGCCAAACACTTAAATTCACAGACCAAAGAATTTTATGTTTGCCAGATGGCAGATTATGAGATCAATCAGGGTTATGAACTAAGACAAGAGATAAGCTCTACAATTTTTTCAACCTATGAAACTTTGCTCAGGTCTTTTGTTCATTCATTCATTCATTCATCCTATTCTTAAGAAGCAATTACTAATGTATCACCCTAGTGCACAATTTTATCAGGTGAAATTTATAATCAAGAAGAGGGCTTTTTCACATGGCACTTGGAAAAATGTCCTTTATAGTTCTAAAATTCTACACTATTATAACACTTAGTTTCCCAGGCATTTAAGCTCAGATGTATTTTTCCTAATGTGATTTTTTTTGCTAGAAACTTTAACCTAGATATTATAAGAAGGAAATTGAATCAGAGAGATTCAGTATCTTTCCTTAAAATCTTTTTGAGGACAAATGCTTTTTACATTGACAGACAGCTCTACCTCTGCCAAACACTTTTTGCATTTAGATGGGAACCAAGTCTGGCATTCAATATTCTTCTCTTCTCCTTCACATTTCCCCAAATTGTTACTATTATAAAGCAAAAAAAAAAAAAAGCCAAAGTGATGGCCTCCCAAAATATGTATGTAGGTAGGTCCACGCAGACATTGATTTCTCATTGCTCCAGAACATAAATCTTTGTAAGATAAATAAATGATCAATCATTTCCACTCATCTTGGCTACAGCTGATGTTCATTGCCTAAGTCCTTAAAAATATTTTTAAGCTGAGGTATCAATAATTGGAGGTGGGACAAGCTTAATAGAGGATCTCTTCTATATGCAAAAATGATTTTTTCAAGGCTATTGATTTTAAAGACTAAAACTCAGGTTCCCCATTTCATCTTGTCTGGCTGGGATTAGGTTGCATTTCTTTTGGGCTTATGAGAGGTTGTGTCACATCAGATGTTGGTAGGAGCAAAAAAATTTTTTGGGGGGGATGTCTTTGGATCATTTCTTAATTTCAATCTTCCCAAAGAAAAAAATCAAACTCAGTTTAGTTTACTGAGCTTTTATTTTCCAAAATTAAATCTTTAGGTCTAATATCTAAGTCTCAACCCTGATAAAGTCAGTTAGCCTTCAATGCAGGATATAGACCTAGATGCACATATAGGTAACCAGAACTTTCCACCTCCATTACAGCTCAATAACCCTCTTCTGCTCCATTGCCAGATATTTCCTACACTTTACATAGGAGCCACCTCATCTTCACCAAAATCATCAAATTAAAAGAGCAACAAATGGTAGATACAGAAGTATTCCTTATTAAATTCATACTTGTCTATGTTATGATATAGAAATTCAATCTATTCCACATTCATAACTAGAGTGCCCTCTATGCAATAAATGGAGAACAAATTAATAACAATTGTTAGAAATCTAAATTACCCCTCTGAGGTTATCATTTTATCCTAGGAAATTAACTCTGGCTATTACATATGTTCCTTCTTTAATAATCGTTCAGAGATCATCCAAACATACGATGGTGCTGAATGTGTGGCAGCTACAATTAGTCCTCATACTTACATTGATTGCAGCATCCATAGTCATATGATCACCATGGGGAAGCTGGAAGAAGGTAATGATCATGGGATGTTCTCACTTAATGACATGATTCATTTAGTATTGGAATTTATGTTGCCAAACAGTATGGTGATGTGACACATTGTTTTACGACTGGATTGGTTAGTGACAGAACTTCTGGTCCCAATTGCAACATGGTAGCTAATTTTTTAACAATAGCCAAGTCTTGCATATTTTATCTAATATTTCCATCATACTATTAATTACCTCAAACTTTTACAATTAATTTTTATGTTATTATTTTTATATTTATTGTGTTGTAATATATGTTTTTATATATTGGTTATGGATTGAAAATAAGTAATGATTGTCTTCTTTGCTGAGAATATGATCTTTTTTAGTCAACAGGTAAGTTTTCTGTGTTCTTTTATTATTAGTTGTTCTCTGACAGGTTGCATTAGATTTACTTATTTTGTACACTTCTGCATTCCCAACAGTCAGCATATTAACATTAAAACAGACAGAGTTTTAAAGCACTGTAATTGTATTCTGCTAACCCTATGATGACAGCTCATTATCATAGTCTTTAAAAAATAGTTTTAAGCAGTTCAAAAAATTGTCAGAGTAGTGCTAGTTAAGCATTGGTAGGGGCTATTCTATTAAACAGAGACCACTGAAATACACTGTTTATTCACCATAGTTTGCCTATCTCCCTCAAAGGAGAATGAGTAACTTCTCTCAAATAAAATGTACTGGAAATTTCACTTAGAGATGGTGATTCTGAAAATATTTGGGAATCAAGCCATATAAGGCTTCTTAAGTAAAAGTTGGCTTTGAATTAGACTGTAAATATATCAAATCTACTGCCTATAGCACATATGTTCTATCATTATGAAAGTTTTCATTTGCCAGTAAGTGGGTTTCTGATGTCTACAACAACAGCAGTTTTAGGATGGCCTTCAAAGGTAGCCTCAGATACAGATACTCAGAGTTGGAAGGGACCTTGTAGGTCATCTAGTCCAACCCATCGCCCAAGCGGGAGACCCTACACCATTTTTGACAGATGGCAGTCCAATCTCTTCTTGAAAGTCTCAAGGGATGGCGCTCTCACAACTTCCGAGGGCAAGCTGTTCCATTGGTTGATTGTTCTGTCAGAAAGTTTCTCCTTATTTCCAGGTTAAATCCCTCCTTGTTCAATTTCCATCCATTATTCCTTGTCTGGCCTACAGGAGCTTTAGAAAATAGCTTGACCCCTTCCTCCCTGTGGAAGCCCGTCAAATATTGGAAGACCGCTATCATGTCTCCCCTGGTCCTTCTCTTTACTAGATAGCCAAGCCCAGTTCCTGCAACCGTTCGTTGTATGTTTTAGCCTCCAGTCCCCTAATCATCCTGGTTGCTTTTCTCTGTACTTTTTCTAGAGTCTCAACATCTTTTTTATAATGCGGTGAACAAAACTGGATGCAGTACTCTAGGTGTGGTCTTACTAAGGCTTTATAGAGTGGTATTACTACTTCCCTTGATCTTGACTGTATTCCTCTGTTAATACAACTTAGGATTGCATTAGCTTTTTTGACGGCTGCTGCACACTGCTGGCTCATATTTAACTGGTTGTCCACTAAGCCTCATGTAAAGTGCATTGTGCTCTTCTAAGTTTATGGTGGTCATATGGTTACCATCAAAAGGAATCAAAATGAGTAAACTAATAATAAATATCTCAAAGGTACTTTTTCAAAAGGCAATTGGACTTTCTTATTTTTCTTTGAAGACATTTTGCTTCTTATGCATTCATATTCATAAAGCTAGATTAATTCTTCTTAGAACAAGGACAAAAGCGAAACGTCTTCAAAGGAAACAAGTCCAGTTACTTTTTAAAAAAGCACCTTTAGGACAACCATGACCTGGATGACTGAGAATCTCCATAAATAATAATACGCATAGATTTGAAAACTGTATTACACTGTTGTAAGAATAGGAAATAGAATGACAAAAAACATTTATATTTAACTATAACCTTTTTTAAAGTTGCAAAAAATTAATACTAGATAGATAGATAGATAGATAGATAGATAGATAGATAGATAGATAGATAGATATTGAAAGAATTGCAAAGCGGTGACATTATTTTGTAAGTCCAAAATAACTGTTCTAAGAATAGTTCAGAGGAACTACTGTGTTGTTAAGTGGAAGAAAAGTACAAGACTAGCTATTCTCAAGGTCCATGTCATAGTTCCCAAGAGCATCATAGCAATATCATACAATATCTGACTTTAAAACATTGAAGATAAAAATAAACACACCAGGTTTGCCTTGAAACAATCTGAGCAGCAATCGCAGTAGTCATAGCTGAAGCAAATTGTAACACTATCACTTTTTTATAGAGAAAATACCTCTCTATGGAAGTGCTAAGATGTATGGAAACTAAACTTTAAGGACTAGGGGACTCACCCTAATAAAGACCAAAGCATCCTTTTTCTTCTTATAGTCTCAGATAGAAATTCCTATCTGTCCTCTAGCATCAACACCAGGAAATAATCAAAAGTGCAAAAGGAATTTGAAATATCCAATAATCGTATAGAACATTTGACAATTCTTGATTTGACTATTCTCAAGAGTAGTCCTATTCTTATATTTTAACTGAGACCACTGCATGATGTCTAAGACCCAAACAACATTAAGAGAAAAATTAAACTCTTGCTATTCCTTATTATTGTTGAGAATATAAAGGTTTTTAATAACAAGGAGTTTTTTTCAACATGAAAAACCTACTTTTCCTGGAAATGTAAATTATACTTTTGAGCAACATCCGCACCCAGTTGTTAACCGCAGCTTTTTCAAGAATTTTAAATCACTAAACAGATAAAAATGGGGGGAAATATGTGTTTATTTTAATTGCATCCTTTGTCTATTAAATCAACAGAAAAGGTAAAACAGTTCAACAAACTGAATTCTAATTATCTAGAACTGAGCAACTTTTTTGTTGACTCAGTTTCTGTGACAGAGGCACACTGCTAGGCAATGAGATCCATTTTCAGTGCCATGGATGTCTTTCGGGCATATTAGACAATGTTCATACTTGGAAGGCAACTTACTTCTGTAATATGTGGACTTTGGAAAAAATGGGAAACATGCTATACCAGGGGTCTCCAATCTTTTGGACCTCAGGGACCACCAAACTCATAATTTTAGATCCCAGGGACCACTAACCAGTTCTGTGGGTGTGGTCTGATTTCTGGGTGTGGCTTGGTGTGGCTTGGTGGTCATGTGATTGGCTGGGAATGGC